CCAGAATTACCTAAAAAAAATAAAACCATAATAAATCTTCCACTGAAGTAAGCCAAAAGGTCCATTTAAATAGAATACTCCCTTAAACCTGCTTTACACATCACTGCAGGGTCACTAACTTGCAATTACACTCATTAGCAAAGACACATGCAAGGCTCAAAGGGACCTTCTGGAGTGTCTTGACCAACCTACCAACAATTTATGCACATACTAATAAGCAGTATGCAATCAAAAGGAGGTTTAAACTGCAGCGGTTACCTCAAACTAGACAGATATAAGGAAGACGACAAATAATTGCTTTCAGTAACACTGACAGACTATCAATAAGGTTATAAATACCTCATTATAAACACATGGCATCTACTAAAAATGGAACAGAAATGTAAAACAACTACATAATAAAGTTGCATAACATGGGGTGACAACAGAGGACGAACCAAGCCAAAACACAAACTGGCCACAGCTGAAATTAAAGACAACACTAATGAATATTGGAATCCAAAATCTGGGAAGTAAATGAAAAATTTTTCCTGTCCAAACCAACCACGGGCCAAATACACTTGGACAACTAGTGCTTCTCTGAAAGTAACATTATGTACAAACGTCTTACATTTTTTTTCAGGAATGGAATATATATGCTTTTTGATTCAGTGAATAAAAATGTGAATGAAATATACAGAGTCTATGTCTATCTATCTAAACATAGTATCTATGCATAGTGTTAGTTTATGCTTTTTTTTTTTTTAGTTAATGTGATAATTTTCGTAATTTATATATTTTCAGTAGACAATAGTTAGATCTCTGACACCTTAATGTCAACCAAAATAAGCAGCAGGCTGGCTGCCAGCACAGGAAAAAACAATTTCCCCTATCATTATTTAGAGCTATATTTCTTTATCATCATGTGCTTTCTAAAAGTGGATCATCTACTTTTATCTTTCAATCAAATATGGTATATAGAGTTTGAAAACAAGTGATACAGTCATATAAGGGGCCTCTTTAAACGGAGTTGTTTCTAATTCAGCTAGCTTATTGTTCATAGGCAGAAACTGTGTTTCTAGTTGTGATGGATTTTGTTTGTCAAAATGAGAATAGCAGATTAAATCATTTTGTCTGAGACAGGTACCCAGTTATCAGGTGGAGCTGATGGAACAAGGAGCCAGCTTAGGTTGAATCTAGCAACAGCTGCTTGACCTCACCTTCTCCACAAGGCATCAACGGGATTCCTGTGTTATCCCTGCTAACACTTCACGTTTTTCATGTCACTTTTTTTCATGACAGTAAAACAAATAGAAAGAATGCTAAAATTGAATTTTGTGGAAGGGTTCATAATTAACTTTAACTTGGGAAAGACAAAGGAGTCACAAATCAGCTACTCATTGTCATTATTAACAAGTGAAAACATTTTTTTCTACCATCTGCAGGATCTGTGCGAATTTTGTACTGTGTTCTTGTCTATTTATACTTATTAGGAAAGTGTTAACATTTAATTATTTGAAAATACAAGGCTTTTATTTTTTCCCATTAACAGGAGCTACTGTGGAAACTACTGGCACAGTGCTGGGGTGAAAAGATGGCTAAATTAAGTACGGTGCATCCAGCTTATACGGACTTCATTTACAGACCTACGTGAAACAAGATATCGTAATTCAGGTTCTCCTTGACTCTGGAAATTACGAGAGGCTGTAGGCCGTGCTGAAATCTCTGTTTCCGTCAGAGTATTTAACTTCTGTGTAAGTGTATATATTCATTGGTATACCTCAGTTTATCCAGGTTCTTCTCATAAAAAACAGTCTTTCAATATTTCAGGAAGTATTTCCTGGGCATTAACACCATTTAATTTTGTAACAGCCAGGCAGCAAACTTCCCTCACAGCTTCTACATGGGAGCCTGCACCGAAACCATTTGCTCCATGTAAGAAAGCCTTGAAGCTGTATCACTTTGCAGTAAGGTTCAGTTTGCCCAATCCAAAAATTACAGCATGGTAAGGTTTTCCGGTATTAGCCTGAGTCCTCTGCTACCAAGGAGGAGAAAGATGAGATAAAGGAAGAAGTGAAAAACTCTGTTTTGGAGAGATTATGGCAGAAAGAAATCTCTGGAAAAGAGGAAAAGCCACAAACAGCACCGAAGGCAATCCTGACAAGCAACGAGCTGCTGGGACAGAAAGCTGGTCTGCAGGTTTAAATACCCTTCCAAAATCAGTCTGGAGATAGCTGGAAATTGAAATTATAATCTCCTTAGAGAGAAGCAACAAGAAGGAAGAAAATGTGCATGTTTGAGGAAAGAACGAATATCATAACTTTCGCTCTGGTGGGCATATGCTTCACGGTACTTGGGGCAGGCGATGAATGCTTCACTACTGTTCAGACAAATTGAGCTGCTAAAAACCTCTCCTGCCCATATTTCTTCCCTCGCAGCTAAGTGCCTACTCAGAGTGATTCACACCTTCGTCTTGCTAGATTTCTGGACAGGTCATTTAGGCTTGATAGGCTCAGCTTCCCATCTGTACTACCAAGATAATGACACTTCCCCACCTAAGAGAAGCACTCTGAGGACAAATGCTGGAGGAGTATTTAGGGGCAGCGATGACAAAGCCCGTATGAATTCCTAAAGCAGGAACTTTGTGCCCTCTCTAAAAGTAACAAACAGTAACAGCTTTTAGGCAGACAGGAAGCACAATGAACATGAGATGGAAAGGCTCAAGGCATTATGTTTACTCCTAAAACACACATTTGCTATTATTTTCTCCGTACTTCCTTCAGGCTACAGTGGCACTACTGAAATAATTATCTTCCTGCCACCTCAACTCAGGAAGGCTGACGGGAAGCAGGAGGAACTTCTTTTATTTCCCCTTGTGCCCGCCACCAAGTCAAATTTTTTCATTACCGAGGCAGCTGCTGCTATCTTTCCTTCCCCAGAAAGGACAGACGTAAGGAATTTAACTGGGGCAGCCGTCACACTAAAACACTTTACAAAAAAGCAAACGAGAACTGATTCAGATGCACGATTCCAGCCTGTTTCCTAAGAGATGCAAGATGAGAGGTGCAGCTATGAGCGCTGCTTTGGAAAGAAGCTTTGCAGAACACTACCACTACCAGGTTTGCATTTTCAAAGCAAAGGCCAGTGATGTGCATTCTGCAAGGCACAAAACCCAGCCAGGGCAAGCAGTGGCCTTCTGGGATGTACTGGCTATTAAAAATAAAAAAACCAATACAAAACCAGGCCCAGGAATAAAATCTTGAAATACCACTGACTTTGATTCCATTCCTCAGGGTCACCATCTTGCTCTGCTCCCCTTTCATAGATGTCCAGCACTGCTGATGCTCACCATCCCTGGGAGTTGCACCTACCCGTACAAAGGCTGGTTACCGCCTACCATTGACAGTCAGTACCTACTCTTCTCGGTAGTAACAGTTTGAGGGTATGTCAGCACACACATCCTTTCTTTCTGTGGGAATTCAGGAAAATTTAACAACATACTATGCAATGGAAGGAATGTAAACTGTAGCCTAGCATCTTTTCTTTAAATGACCTAATGACGTTATGTGTTCCGTCTACAGACAGCATGGGAAGTGCCACTATGACTGCTGAGGTGTACTGCTGATGTTCATTAGCAGTTTGCCACTTACTACTCAGAATAAATAGGCAGAATGTTCCCTGGAGGCAGGACACAGACGGCATAACCAAGAGGCAAACAAGTATGCTGAATCCAAAGCGGTGGTTACACTTTATTAGATCTGTCAGTAATTCTGTCACTCTGCAGGAAGCACCATCTGAGCTCGCGTAGCCCAGTATCTCCACCCCATTAATCCTGCCTAACTAGTACAAGGTGATAGGTGTTGTAACTAAGAAACAAAATTAAATATAAAAATCTACATTTAATAAACACCATACAGTTTACTCAGACACCCTCAAGGAAGGAACCTGGAGTCAACCAAAGGACGACAATCTTATCAATTGTATCCTAAATGAGGCCTGACCCACAAGGGTTAGTAGTTTCTGCAGAAGCACAGATGACAGTGTGTACTCTGATGGTTCTATGACAGAAATAAGAACTTTTCCTACATATTTTAGTAGGAAAATCATAATGGAAATACAGGCATTGTAAAATAGAATAATGAAAAGAACTTAAGATTTTTTATTTGTAGCATTAAATTAATCACCACATTGATGTTAGCAATCAAATAGAATAAAATCACAAAGTGAAAAAAAAAACCCCGACATAGCTTCTCTTTTGCATTTTAAATAGGATAGCTTAGGGGCAAGGGGAAAAAAAACTCCAAACATTTCAGACCAGTGCTGTTTGACAGCATTCCTGTACTTCTGGGGAAAAAAAACCTAAACAAACCCACCTTGAATTTCGCAAGGGAAAAAGTCCAAACAATCTTAAAAAGATCAGGTTCTACTATATCAAGAAAAGAAATAGACTCTACCACTACCTGCATGCCCTGTGTCTAACATACATCACATAACATGCTATCAAATTTCAGAAAAAAGGCTTCAGAAGATGACGCTTGTCCATCTCTCCAACATGCTTTTCCATTTTCCTATCACAACCACAAGAAAGGTAAAAAAAACCCCAAACAAATCCTTCTTCTCACTATATAGGCTATAAAAGAAATGAATAACAGCTTCTAAGAAAATTCAGCAAAATCCAACTTCTGCATGTGCAGCCCTGCACCAGACAGGAGGGAGAGCAGAGCACAGCTGATGGCAGGATTCCCACCACAACGTACTTGTGTATGGAGCACATCTCCCACAAGAGCATCAGTGACCAGCAACCGTAAGCATAAACCGTGCCTTCATCTGTAAACTGTCTGTATAATATTGAATAAAGCTATTCATACATTACATATATCCAAAGGGCTTGAAAGTGTTTTGTTATGGCAAAGAAGATGGTAATAAAACAGAGTTACTGATGGAGCAAGTGGCATGCAGCACAGAACTGCGCTTGCGGGACCTGTATAGAGTTTGAACAAAAAATATTGAAAGATTCAAACCTGTGACCAGTTCTCTGATTTCCAAATCTGTAGTCTTGCGGAGTAACCGTACTAATGCTGGGATACCACCACAGTTTTTCAGAGCAATTTTGTTGTCATCATTTGCCTTCCCATATACCAAGTTTCTCAAAGCTCCACAGGCACTACGGTGGACTTCTGTCATCCGATGGTCCAATAGGTCCACCAGTAATTGTATTCCGCCTTGTCTTCTTATCTGAAACAGGCCAAAGTGATAATCACAAAATTAGGGAATGAACACCAGCATTGTATATGCCACCCAATGTAATTAAGCTGTGGTTTATGCAGGCTATGCTCCAGCAAAGGTATGCTGGTAGCCCCGCAAAGCTGCTACGTTACACTGCTTTGATTCCTCGTATTATTTTTTCAGTGGCAACATAACTGTACAATGACAAACCTGAACCTCTGTAAAAGCAGCTGAAAGTTAGTCAAGAGTGTTGCCTCAGCAAGATTTCTCAAGTTTCAGCAAGGTTTGCCTTGGCAAGGGTTTCTCCTGTGCTGGAGAAACATCATCTACTTTGGAGTGTAACACATCTCAAGTTAGAGGAAAAACCACAAGACTACGGCAAACAAAAAAAAGCACTTAATGCAATAAAGTTTTTAGGGGTCCCTCCTTTTACATTTAATTACTTGGAATGTGAGCAGCCACTGTAGTCTCTGTAAGGATGTTGTATCAACAAAATTGGGAAAAGTGAAGATGAAAGGAAAAGGAGGAAGTCTGCACAAACATAAAGACAAGGATGATGGATAAAACATGGAATGCTTGTTCTATTATGCCTGAGGGAGACCCTTAAGTGATGCAGGAACAGAAGTCTTATTCATTCCTAAGGTGGCCTACAAAATAAATTTCTAATGGAATATCTTATATAAAATATCATTCTAGAAAAAGCACAAAAATGTTTGAGGCAAATGATCAAGAAGGTCAAGAATACCATGAAATATTTATTATAAAATCTGTTTGCCACAAATCCATCGTTACTGTTCTCTGGCACTATTTGGTCCTCAAACAGTAACTAGTCTTGGATCTAATTTTAAGAAACTAGACTGATTCATAACTAACATCCAAGGAGTACAATGCTTTAGCTTCAAGTAAATTATATAGATATCTCTATCAAAAAGTTTCTCCATGTGTGCTGTTGGCTAAGGCTCAAAGCAAGCCAGGCACTTCAGCTGGCCATTTTACCACCTCTAGTAATATTTTCCCTAAACATTAAAAGAGAGACAGCTATAGAGGGTTTCAAAACTGCAGGGAAAGGTGAGACATTCATTTTAGAATCAAAGTTTATGATTAAAAGTTTTGAAATCTTTGTGAAGTTGTTCCTGCATGGACATGCGTTCTTGGGGCTCTTTGCAGGGGGGAGGCTTGGGAGTAGGAAATGGTTAAACAAAGCACACTAAAATTTATTAGAAATTCATGCTCTGTCTACTAACTTCAAAATATTTAAGTACAAGCAATGTATGGCATTTCATGAATCTAACACAAGCTTCACTGCAAATGAAGACTGAAAAATGATTCAGCCTTTGAGGTTCTGAAATCGAGCTATACAAAATTACTCATTGATAAAATAGAAGTTCTCTCTTTCTTCTGCCGGCTTATCTGGCATATTCCTGTTTTTGTAATAACAGCAAGACGCAGTAATAGAGCAGTTTTGTAGTTAAAAAGTGTATATACTGAGATGTTACAGTATTAAATTAAAATGTTATAATGTGTATACACTTACAACACACCTTTGGGCTAAATGCAAAGTGATAGTGTTTAAAGATAAACTAAGATATTCTCCCTTAAATAGGCATTATATCAGTATATCATGTCCAACTTTCTGAGCAATATACAGCAGCCAGCACTACATGGAGAGTGCAGAGATGTGAATGGACATTGGTACAATATATCAACTTCAGGTGGAAAAGGTCATTAATCTTTTTGAGAGCCCATGCTTCTGCTCAGAGAAACCATGACATCTTTCAGTTTAGAAACCAGAAAAACAGATCAAAGAGAAAAGGTGCTGCAATATATCTCACTGATCAAATCTTTACCCATGTGAACAGGACGACTTGCAATGAAATCATTTGCTCCTTTCCAAGCCAGGAAAAAACTACCAAGTTTATCTGGGAGGGGTGGGGGGTAGGGTTATTTGTCTGCTTGTTTTTACAATCCATCACTGTTTAATTTTCAGATTAAAATATGTTCACTTCCTCTACTAACCAGATTCTCAAAACCAAGCATACTACATGAAGAGCCACCTACATAACAAAATAGATGACATTTATTGAAACAGACTAGGAACAAAAATTTATGCATCAGTTCTACAAAAGGTGAACCAACCACTGAGCTTCACACTTCAACCTCCGAAAAGAAACAAGATCTGACAGAAAAAAGAACGCAGTTAAAAAATACACGAGTTGTTCTGGTATGATGAGTAATATCAGGAATGGCAGAATGAAAACACGCCTGCTGATCTTTGTGTTTTATATTTTTAAAGCACAATATACTGAATGAATATTTTAATTGCTTCACTGGTAAAAAAAGATTATGAATGAGAAAAAGTATTAACTTTGTAGCAAAAATCATTCCGTGCACTGTAGTTCATCTGAAGACTCAAAGGGCTCTGCTTCCGTTCAGGGGCACGCTGTGCCTGTGCTCTTTTCCCCACTCTCCCTCTCGGACACAGCCAAGTGGCATCTCAGGCTCCTTCGTAGCTTCTCTTGTGGACACTCTCAGGCAGCAGGTTTTGCTATTTTCTGCTCCTTTCTAAGGGAAAATGTGTGGTTCTGCCACATTCAGCCGGCATTCCTGAGCTGCACCTTCCCTTTTCAGCCATGGTATCTGACAGCACACTAGTATTCAGCTCATGCAGCTCCTCCTCTCCCAGGAACCTGAAGTCAGCAGCAGACTGAAGTGATTCAAAGATACTTTCTTAAAAGCAGGGGCATTAAATGTTAATCTAGAATGCATTTCTGTCAGAAAAAAATATGGGTAATACAATAGGAATGAAACGGGTGTTACATAACACTTTACCTAACTTGACAAAATTTCTTAAATCCTACTGAAGAACGAACCTATTCTTACCTGGGAAAGACAAGACTTACTTTGCAAACTTCCTTTGCGTTTCCAGGCTCAGATACTTGGCAAAGTGGCTGTGTCATGCAGGCAGAGGAGCAGCTGATTCTTCACAACCAGGAGCTCAGTTTCTGATGCTGTTCTTTACCTGGACTACTGTCTTGCTTTGTTTTTGTTTTTCCAAGAGCCCATTATTCACCAGACGCCTCACCCCATCTTTGTGTTTCCATCACATATCTATATAGCTGTTTAATACTATATTCTCCAGCAGGTTTAACTATGCCTGATAAATTGTGAGACTGTCATGGATGTTACCAGAATCTATTTCCATTTATGGAAACTGAGGCAAAGGAAATTAAATTCTTTGTTCAAGTTCTTTATGGAGTTAGAGCCGCAGCCTGGAGGACAATTCTGACCTAGCGAGTCTCCTGGGGGAGATCTCAGCCGAGCTAAGTTGTCACAGCTCCAGTTAGTTCAACAGCATCGCTACTGCCAAACGTCTTTGCCAAGAATACTTGGATGGGTGGATAAGCAGCAATTTTCACCAATGGGGCATCAAATCCCACTCCCCCAAAGGACTTTCAATAGATACTTCTGTCTCTCTCCTGTCTTTCTATGAAGAGAACATTTCTTAATGTAATATTTATTGACATATCAGTGGCTGCTGCCTTGCTACCTCTAGGAGAAAATGAAAATAGAATACGCCGGAGTCTGCTTGCTTGCTACAACCAAATAATCAGCATAGTACCAAGTTATCAGGAGATACAGGAGACCAACTCTGTTCTCACACAGACCAATCCCAGAGTAGCCACTTCTGAAGTCAAAAGAATTACCTTCAACTCTGCAGCACAACTGAGTTCGCCCAGTCATATCATAAAGTTTATTCTTCCTGTCTTGAATATATTGTCCCTTTTTTATGCCGTTTCTTCTCAAAATTAAAAAAAAGACAATCAGACTACAAGTATTAAAAATGCTGGGTTAATCTGTGTTGCGGCGTTTCTCAAGTGAGAATCCACGGACATCGTTAATTTCTGAATGTTCTTTCCTTTTTTTTCTCACTAGAAATATTTTGTGTATGTCTTCAGAAGATGCTGTTAGAGAGCTGCTAAATAAATACATCAGGCTGCGTTCTTTCACACATGGCATTATGGAGTGTATGGCAAATCCTATCAGGACCAGGAATCCCAGCATGCATAAGTCTGAATTCATTCTGTTGAGCTTTCTCAGTAACAACTCAGTGTAAACCTGTGCTGATCAAAGTGAAAAATGAAAGAAAGGAGATTACATGAATTTTGTCATGAAAAATTTTCCAGGGAAGAATGCACAAAGCTGCTTTCCTCTGATGAATCATGCGTTTTCTTTTTCCAGCAAATTTTTAAACTTTCCTTTTAAAGTTGGCCCTCCATCATTAATGTTACTGTCTACTTGCTGGTCAGAAGAACTTGCTCTGGTCAAGTCCCATATGCCACAACACAGACAGACAGGACAGGAAAAGGTGCCAGAATTTCTGGTCCGCGGACAGATAAGAGTGCACTTATGTCAGCATGATTCCAGAGTCTTCCCCTCTCGCATCATATGATGTTTGTTTTTGCATTGCATCTGAGAACATATTTCTATCCACAGTATGCAGATACAAAGTGAATTTGGGCTTGAGAAGGGGTTCAGACCAGTGCTGGAGGCAGTGAAGATGTTATCCATGTCCTAGTAAGGAGAGCCTGGATGTCTCATGCCAAGAGCCTTTGAGAAATGTAATTTATCAGTTTCAAGGCTGACTTTTGATTCAATGGATTTGGCTTCAGTGGTCAAGAAGCCAAGACCAGTTCAGAGTGTGTTTACCACAGCAAATTTTCCATGACAGTGGACTGTTAGATATTTAATCTAATTACACATGACCAGCCTGAAGCACATGCATTGGTAGAACAAGTCAATACTACATTGATGATATGTCTGAAACAATATAGATATACTTGATTACTGTATGACTTTAGCATATGAATTATTTGACAGCTTGCTCTTCTAATTTGATACAAGAGATTGGATGGATCTGTGGAAAGAAAAGAAATGTAGGATGTGAAGGGTATGTAGATACCTGGAATGTAAGCACACCTGTTTTGTGAGGACATCTTGTCAATGGCTCT